GGTGCCACGTATTACGACCCTCTGATGCCTGTTTGTTAAAAAGTTTCTAAACCATCGCAACAGTGGCCCATCAATACCGTAGCGGCTAAGCTTAAGTAGAAGGCGCTCGTGAGGCACACTGTCGAATGCTTTCGACAAGTCTAGGAAAATGGCATCTGTTGTTTTCGAGTTGTTTCTGGATAAGCACCAGTCGTGGAAACAACTTAAAAGTTGTGCGAGCGTCGACTTTCCTTCCAAGTAGCCAAACTGATTTGGGTTTAAGACATGGTGGGTGGACCAAAAGGTTGTAATTCTAGAACGTACTATCTTGTCGGCTATTTTACAGACAATAGATGTTAAGGAAATTTGACGATAGTTCTCTTTTTTATGCTTGTTTCCCTTTTTGTGAATCGGTGTTATGTTTGCTATTTTCCAGTCAGCTGGCAACATCCCAGTCGAGAAAGACTAGCCAGGGGGGTGGTCAGAGAACTTCTGGCCGCTGGGACTGTCTTTGAGTCAATGCGGGCATGTTTTTGCGAATTCGGTTAGATATATGTATTAATCAACCGAAGAAGCCTAAGCTTGAGTTCAGCAATGGATCTTTCCAAGCAGTTCAGGTTAACATCACAGTCTTGTGGTTAATGCAACGCGTCGGGGATTTAGCAATGATTGGTTTTTATTTTACAGGCAGTTGTGATCAAGATTACCGATTTGAGTGTGGGTGGCTCGGAATAGATGAACAAACCTGCTTGGCAAGAAACTGCTGTTGGGATAACAGCGATCCATCCAAGAAGTTTTGTTTCGTTAAGAAAGGCACACGTAAGAGTTGTTTAAATTACATGTACATTTTTGGTTCTCTTCTTGTCACTCTATATGAAAAGGATGGAAGTACTCGTCGTACCCTTCAGTGGTATTTATCGCTAAAAAAAGTAATTATGAAAGTGTCAGTTAATAGGTTTTTAAAAAATTGCTACCTCTTTGTAGTGAAAAAAAAAAAAAAAAAAAAAAATTGAAGCCACGCCCACAGAACAGGATCTTGGTACCTCAAGATTTCCGACGAGCACCCTTGCAAAGAGGAGTTCTCAAACGTGGCAGAAGAAAAGAAATACCTAGAAAAAACATATGTGAAGGTTTTGGTCACGGCAATTCGTGAGAGTTCCATGCTCTACCTTCTATAGAATGTCTTTTGTTTGCAGTATATTCATCTCTCCGCTAACGGACACTCTCGTAAGCGGACAGCTCTACTTACAGACACTATTTCAATTTCCCGTTTTACCTCCCAGTCGAACTTTGTATTTACACAAACCCGTCACTGAGCGCACACTCTCGTAAGCGGACACGGACACTTCTGAAAATAAAAATTGGATTTTTCTTTTGTTTACGCTTTCTCGTGAGCGGACACCCAATGTATAAAAATTGACTCTTGGCTATGAACATAGAGGAGTTAAACTTTATATATATATATTTTTTGAGTTTGAACATTTGACATCAATAAAGAGTTTCGGTTGTTATTTTTGGCTACGTAATAAAACATGTAATGGGGACATCCACCCTATTTTTCTTTGGTGTCCGCTTATGGGAATAATTCTCGTAAGCGGACATCTCTACTAGCGGACAGTTTTTCCAGTTCCCGAGGGTGCCTGATTACGAGAAAGTTGACTGTATTTGTATCTACTGTTAGACCAATGGTACAGTTGGAAGCAGGACCATTCTTGACATCAACCGGATATTTCTCACTACATATAATCAATATTCCCCAGTCAATACAATCCTAAAATCGTGGTTTAAGATAGACTGTTTGCAGCCTCTCTATGTTTCAACGCACGCAAAAGAAAAAGCGAGTGAAGTGAGCTCGAAGCACGTGGAGGCGGGGGCGGGAAGGTGAGCGAAGCAAGCCAAACTAAGAATGGTACCCTGTCAAATCTCTCGTTTTTTCGCTGGCCTCCAGTTCTCTGGCGATTCTACCCTCGTGTTCAACGATCGAATAAAAATACGAGATAATAGAGGGCTTTGAACAGTCTAGGTTTACGAGAATTCATCAAATATTACAATTGTACATGTCTTTACCTTTACTTCGTTTCAAACATTACAATTAATACAGATCTCCCTGATGGACTTTGCCCCGTTGCTCCTTCTGAACGCGAGGAATGCGGTTATTATGGAATAACAAAGGAGGAGTGTCTGGGTAAATCTTGTTGTTGGGACCCAACAGTTCCTAACACTAAGTGGTGTTTCAAACAGCCAAGTGAGTATAGGACTAATATACTACACGATATATTTAATTTTTTGATAAGTAATAGTAGCTGGGCCTAGTATATAAACAATTCAGGGAGTAATCTGGCGCCGGGTTCATTTCAAAATCGGACGAACGTACAGCCCAAAGCCGAATTGAAATTACACTAAAGCACGAATATTCCCTGAATTGTACGACGTCTAGGATCAAGCCAGATTTCGGTGATAGCAAAAACGTAAAAATTGCTCTCAAAAACTAATATTTTCAGGCTCGGCCAGAGGTTTTGGGTATACGGTCGTATCCAGAGTCGTTTTAATTCGGATTTATGGTATATTTTGTCACGATATATTCGGGTATAAAGTATCTTGTTTTCCCTGAATTTTAATTACGTATTCGGTATACAGACTTTAATTAAACGTATAAGTTTGGTCAAGTTTATTTTAAATATTTATCATAATTATTTTGAGGTATAATGGTATGTTAAGGGAAATAAAAATTGGGTATATTGGTGTAATGAAATTGATATAGTGATGGCACGAGCTATGATGTGCGCGCTAAGATGTATAACGGTTGTATTTGAATGTATACTCGCAAGAGTTCTAAAACTAAGAAACGGTTATATGGTGAGTACGGGATGCGCAATGTACTCGTAATACAGGATATATAGGGGACTCACGTCATGCAGTGGCCTGTGTGTGTGTTAGTAGACTTGCCATGTACAAGTAAGCTAAACGTTAAGAGTCGAGTAATTAAACCGTTGGCCGTTGGACTCTTTGACTGGAAGTTGTTTTCGCCCGCGCGCGTTACATTGGTATCCCATTTCCCTAGCCGGGCCTACACTGGTGGTCATCAGCCGTTCAAAAATTCGTCCAGTTCCGCCGGTCCCGTGTAAACGCATGGTAGAACCGTGCAAGTTTTTGTCCATGCAAAAATTTGTCCGGACCCGTGTAAACGTGGCCTAAGATCACTTTTAACACGAATCAAGTTGGTGATCAGCCTTTCAGTAAGTTATTGTGTTACAATTTGTAATTTAGAGAGCTACTTTTAAAGTTATACCATCCCCATAGAATGTTTCGTTTCCAGTCGCCCGATCTACCCAGTTTTTAGGAAAAGTTAAGAAAAAACCCGTTAGGTTTATGCTGTCTGACAAGCAAAATTTTACTTTTTAACTAATTCACAGTCTGTTTTAAATTTAAAAAAGCAACAAAACATAAAAACCAGGAAAAATATGTGATCAAGAACTAATGTTGAATTGAAAGCTGTTATATCTTTCAATATCTTATTTAATAGCCTGTACATTAAATCGGAAGTGTTTGTGGAAGTCATTTCACGTCTCTCAGCATATGCATACTTGGAAACAAAGGTTATATTAAACAGCATTGCGTGAATGGAGGGATTTAAGATTCAACCCATAAACAGCCCTAAACCCTGACATGGTTGCCTTCATCATTAGCAACACAGTGCAACCTCGTCCCCAGGGCCTTCTCCTCGACGATTTCCTAAATTTAAAAACTGGAGAATCGAAGGCCCTGGGGACCAGGTCGCAACACAGTGCTAAATACTACAACAATACTGTACTTTAAGGTACAATCCACAGGGGTGATATAAATTGCTACATTGATTAACTATGTTTCCCTGGACGTTCATAGAATCTCATCAGTGGACACACCAAGCATTGAGGTTATGCTATGTTTTGTGCTGTTCAGCTTTTTGTTTTTACTGAAATCTGGCAATCCTTTGTGTCTGTCAGAGGAGAAGCCACTGGGATGCACCATCTATCATGGTATATACGGCACCTGTAAGTACGTGTGTGATCCGGACGAGGAAAAAATGTACGGAATGGGAGCGTGCCAGGGGCGCATCTGCTGTTACCATGGCTACCCATCAAAATGAGTAAGCAAACGTTTTTCATTGTATTAACGTAAAAGTTTTAGGGAAGAATAGCTAAGCAAGAGAGGCAAGCTGAGGACGAAGGACTTTTCTTGAAGTCTGTATGTAACGGTGTCTGCTAAAAACAGTTAGCATCAAACTTTAGAAGTAGCTAGTACTCGAATAAAACGGTGTCTGTTGCAAACTGAGCTTTAAACTTTACAAGAACTCTAGCGCAGTACGTTTAGATGTTGGCCAACATCTCTTAACAGCAAAACGACCGCCAAATATATATGTCTAAAATGCCGTGCTCGTCCTTGATTAGCATTCTAAAAAAGTAGTTATCGAGTGAGCATCCGTATTTGCAAAGCAGCCCAATCTGAGTTTTATATTTTTAATAGTCTACTGTGCGATAAAAAAAATAATAATAGTAATAGTAATAGTAATAGTAATAGTAATAGTAATAATAATAATAATAATAATAGAAATAACCCAGAATATCAATTATCATTTTAAATGCATCGTTTCTTGATCGATGTTTGTGTTTTCCTTACAGATCAAGGCTGAGCATACCAACTATTAAACAGCTGCCCTACATCAAGTGGAAAACTTAAATTAGAGATTAGTTCGTTAACTCTTAGATTAAACGGTAACATGCTGTGAATGGGAAGAAATAAAATAGAAAGACTACGATGGGAAATATTCTTGCTTTCTTAATGAATTAAATTTACGTACAATACAGTTATATCCCGTTGGATACATAATGGGCTTGCGAGCTGTGAAGGCAGTACCTTTGAGGGCATGCTGCGCATGTCTTAAATCTCTACCGAGCCCGGCAACTGTTCGTAGCCAGGGCGTGCGAGTTTAAATTCAACACGGCGGCCACTATTTTGATAGCTTTTGACCAGGTCAAACTCTATGGATTTTCTCGAATTACTGGAGATGGCAAATAATACATGGGAAAAGAGATAAAGAACATTGGTGATGCCAGAACAGGTCTAAAACAAAACTTGCTCTAGAACTTAACTGCATATTTTTGGCTCCATTCCTTTGGGATGATCTGAATCAGGATCAGTAGTCCAAGATCACTCAGATCAGGCTGATGAATCCCTGACAAGAGTGGATTCACCGGTTGCTTTGATGCACCATGATCTGAGTGATCTTGGATCACTGATCTTGATCCACATCATCCCAAAGGAACGTACCCCATTAACTTGACAGGGAAGGGGATAAATGAGAGCATTTGAGTCATGTTCTAAATGGTGTGGTTTAATCGAGCAGAGATGAAATCTCATCACCGTTTTAGGAACCCTTTATTAACAAATACAAAGGGAAAACATTTAATCAAATACATGTTCCTGAAAGTCTCGTGCCAGCTCCAAGCGGCGAAAAATGTCACTGCTCTATTGATATCGACGAACGCTTTCCGTTCCAAAAAGTTCTTGGGGCGATGCGTGCCGAAAATCGAGTTTTATGTCCTGTGTTCAAGTAGTTACCAGTGCTCTTGGAGTGGACCATAGATATACTAAAATAATTTTCCCACAATAAAACAGTAGAACACACACGTAGGCCGGCTACATTAGCAAAAAAAGAAAAAAAAACAAAAAAAAAAAAACACAGAAGTGCCGTGTTGAAGAAAAATTGAACGCTCTTACAATATGATTCGTTGTTCATCGATTTTGTTGATTCTCATAACTGTCTTGTCATGAATAAATATGACCAGTTTAAGGACCAGCGAAAGAATTGCGAAGTGTGTATGCTTGTAAAACTGTTCCTAGGTTGATAATTGTATTTTAAGTTATCTTTCTAAAACCCGCAGCCTTGAGTTTTAAAGGTGTACCAGAAGGCATTTAAACATTCCAGTGTCGCGTAACGCAACCGAACACCTCGAAGTCACGCGATATGTATCAGCCAGTCACGCAAGTTCGTCTCTCCCTGTTAGCTCGCTTTCCCCAAATCTATTTTCTTCTGAAGTGCTCGAGCGGAGTGATAAATCATGGAGTCTACGAGGCCAGCCACTGTAAAGACCAAAAATGAAATGTGCATTTAGCATTAAAGAGGAAACAGTAAAGACTTACATAAACTTATATAAACTGAGCCGTTATCTCGGGATGAAATTTTGAAACAGAGACGCGATATATTATATTTCCGTCACATGGCGGGATGTAGCTAAAAATTCATAAAAAACTGGGTTCTTACAACGATGGAAAATACACGGTGTAGCCTTCGCGATAGCTAAGGATACAAAGCTGCGTAAAAAAGCTGCGCTCATCGGGAGTTACTTTAATTTTGTTGTGAACAACATGTAGACAGAATCGGGTTCTGTCCTCGTGTACCGGTTCACAAGAACCGATAACAAAAGACCCAACAATGTTCAACAGCTAAACAAAGGTTTGTAAAGAAAGGAGTACAATGGTTATTCCCTCTGTGTACCGGTACACCAGGACACGACCCAGAATCGGCTCAAATGACTTCCTACCTGTAAAAATACCGCCGACAATTGCACAAACACCAGTGAGAAAATGCATGAAGGATCTGAAATTCAACAGAGAACAGAGATCAACAGACTTGATACCACTTACTCTCGCCAGTAACTAGCTCAAATTTGTTTCGCTGAGATCTTGTTGTTGGTTAAAACTGAAACTCGTCACGTGAGATAAGTTTTACCGATCACAGCAGACAGATATGTCTTGTTTTTGTTTTCTTTCTCTTCTGCACAAGATCAAAAATTAAAACAAACAAACAAACAAACACACAAAAGCAGCGAATGTAGCACGCTTCTCACCTTCTACTCTCTGTATACTGCACGACCATCGGAGAGAATTCATACAATACAAAGACACCTACAAAGAAAAATCAATAGCAACAGAATGAAACCGTCACGCTACTTCGACGGTAAATTGAAAACACTTCGACACGGCTGCCACAGACATCACTATCCAAATTCTGACTATTTCCTGACTTTTCCCTGGTAAAAATAAAATTTGCCGTGACTTTTCTTCAAAATGTCTTTTTTTCCCTGACCTTGAAGAATTTTTTCACTTTGACCATTTCCTGACCTATGGCGACCCTGTTAGTTTGAGGGTTAGCAACGCAATATACTCGGGAAAAAATTGCGAGCTTTTCTGACAGGCGTTCCACTCGCGTGACAGTCTTCGGCTGAGCTTTAGGAATTGCGGTCGTTTCGCCCGATGCCAGTGCACACTCTCCGTGGTCAATGGAGTAAAGAACGAGAAATAAACAATTTTGTTTCCATTTGCCCACAATGTTGTCTTTTTCGCTCGGTTAGAGAATGATAAATTTTAAGCATATCTTTCTTCGAACTTAGTTAAAGTCCGGACGAACGGACTTTTAGACCGGGCAAACTGACATTGTGCGAAACGCCTGGTTACCAGCTTTACAAGTCATGCGGGAGCTTACATTCAGATATTCAAGGTCTATTGTTAGAAAGCCGGTTGTTTTTACAAGGAAGCTTGTATCACTGACTGGTGAAAATCATTCTAATTGAGTTCTACAAAGCTTCACTAAACTAATAATCTCAACTCTTAACTCAGAGCAAATTTGGATTTTGGTGGCCGGGTTGATCGTTGGATAAAGAGAGAGTTTACTGACGATAGAATAAGCGAAGCGATACCTGGCAGACCGTGTTCACCAGACACTTGTCTGATGACCCTCTTGTGCTTTGTGACCGAGAATTGATTCGTTTTTACCACCTGCAAACAAACAAATTCAAGCAAGTATGAGGACAAGTTTGAACACACTGGTAAGACTGAGATGTTTATGAAGCGGCCGGGGATAAAAACAAAACACAGTTATATTCGCACCAGTCCCTTACTTTAGCATTTTTAGCGAGCTCTGCATCTCATTTCAGTCCAGTTCGCGTAAGAATCTTTTGGCTGTTGGCAGTCGTAACATACTGTCTCTCTTTTTCGCTTGCTTCTACACACTACTGCGCTTCTCGTTTCCCGTCCCTCCCTTTCCCAATCATTCTACACTTCCAACTCGCTCCAGCGCGGCCGCATTTCTCCATCTCTTATTCAGCGAGCGTAAAAGGGACTGCCGCGAATAGTATGCTTATCGTCGCCTGAATCAGCGTTTTCTGATCAGCCAACAAAAAGCCAAGGTTTACTGGAAATTTTCAGCAAAGGTGATCGTTTGGTGATTTCATGTTGTGCTTCAGTGGACAGAAAAGAAATATACCGTACCAAGGTATACAACGCACGTGCGGAACTAATGAACTACTCATTGACATACGGCAAACATTTTCTTGCACTGCTACATGCATATGTACTATACAAGTTTAAAAGCATTGCTGTGCGCGTTACCATCCACGTTGCAAGTTGAAGCAACATCTTGCAAAAAATACAGCTCAAATCTCCGACACGGACGGTAACAAGAGCTACAGCGCTCTTCAACTTCTGTTAAGCGGCGTGTTTTTTTTGGACTCACCTCGCCATTTAACTTTCTGTACATTGTTGGAACAATCTTTACAAAGTATTGGTACATACTCCCGGCTAGAAATAACAATAACGACACAGTTACAACACAGATCTTATTCAGAATAAACGTTACAAGTTCAAATGGATGACAACAATTTAGCCCACTCTTTTCTCGATAGAATTAAGCAAACAATTTTCTGCAAAGGAAAATTACATGGAGCATTTTATTTAAAACCACGAAGCGAATTTCAAAACCGCTGCGCAAAAAATGCACTCAGCCGACTTCTGATTATAATTCAAGCTCGCATTGTCTTAGTCTTCCTTCGCAGCCTTTTTTTGGGTTCGTCACGCAACGCTACTTCACCAACAAGTCTGGTCTGTAGCCATTGCTTTAGGGTGCTGCGGGCCGTGTTGCGTGACAACCCCAAACGATGGCTGCAAAAGAGACCAACATTCTCTCTCTCCATAGCCCCCTTGGGAGAACAAGGCCAGGAATTACAAAGGGAATCACCAGTCAGGGACAATTTCTACTCCTACATCCCCTTTACTAACAATAGTGACTGAATTTTCTTGTTCAAAAACAAGTTCACATCAGACATTCCATCTTGAAAGGGGGTCATGAGAATTTAAGACCAGGCCATAAGTGGTGCAAAACCTCATTCTCCACGGAAGAGTTTTAGAAAATGAATGAAACAAGTACGAAGAGTGTACAAGCACATCCAGAATACAAACAAAAACATTTTACCATCTTCCGCTGCAACATAAGTGTTGTCCAGAGGATGCTTTAAGCCAGGATATTCATGACCAAATGAAAGATGGCGAATATGATGCGTCAGATTAAACTGCAAGTAAAACATAGTACGGTTATGACAAACGGAAGATTAGGTAAGTTACATTAAAGTCTACATACTGTATGAGCCAGTGGCCCATCAGGTCGGAGCTTAATCCNGCTGTCTGACAAGCAAAATTTTACTTTTTAACTAATTCACAGTCTGTTTTAAATTTAAAAAAGCAACAAAACATAAAAACCAGGAAAAATATGTGATCAAGAACTAATGTTGAATTGAAAGCTGTTATATCTTTCAATATCTTATTTAATAGCCTGTACATTAAATCGGAAGTGTTTGTGGAAGTCATTTCACGTCTCTCAGCATATGCATACTTGGAAACAAAGGTTATATTAAACAGCATTGCGTGAATGGAGGGATTTAAGATTCAACCCATAAACAGCCCTAAACCCTGACATGGTTGCCTTCATCATTAGCAACACAGTGCAACCTCGTCCCCAGGGCCTTCTCCTCGACGATTTCCTAAATTTAAAAACTGGAGAATCGAAGGCCCTGGGGACCAGGTCGCAACACAGTGCTAAATACTACAACAATACTGTACTTTAAGGTACAATCCACAGGGGTGATATAAATTGCTACATTGATTAACTATGTTTCCCTGGACGTTCATAGAATCTCATCAGTGGACACACCAAGCATTGAGGTTATGCTATGTTTTGTGCTGTTCAGCTTTTTGTTTTTACTGAAATCTGGCAATCCTTTGTGTCTGTCAGAGGAGAAGCCACTGGGATGCACCATCTATCATGGTATATACGGCACCTGTAAGTACGTGTGTGATCCGGACGAGGAAAAAATGTACGGAATGGGAGCGTGCCAGGGGCGCATCTGCTGTTACCATGGCTACCCATCAAAATGAGTAAGCAAACGTTTTTCATTGTATTAACGTAAAAGTTTTAGGGAAGAATAGCTAAGCAAGAGAGGCAAGCTGAGGACGAAGGACTTTTCTTGAAGTCTGTATGTAACGGTGTCTGCTAAAAACAGTTAGCATCAAACTTTAGAAGTAGCTAGTACTCGAATAAAACGGTGTCTGTTGCAAACTGAGCTTTAAACTTTACAAGAACTCTAGCGCAGTACGTTTAGATGTTGGCCAACATCTCTTAACAGCAAAACGACCGCCAAATATATATGTCTAAAATGCCGTGCTCGTCCTTGATTAGCATTCTAAAAAAGTAGTTATCGAGTGAGCATCCGTATTTGCAAAGCAGCCCAATCTGAGTTTTATATTTTTAATAGTCTACTGTGCGATAAAAAAAATAATAATAGTAATAGTAATAGTAATAGTAATAGTAATAGTAATAATAATAATAATAATAATAGAAATAACCCAGAATATCAATTATCATTTTAAATGCATCGTTTCTTGATCGATGTTTGTGTTTTCCTTACAGATCAAGGCTGAGCATACCAACTATTAAACAGCTGCCCTACATCAAGTGGAAAACTTAAATTAGAGATTAGTTCGTTAACTCTTAGATTAAACGGTAACATGCTGTGAATGGGAAGAAATAAAATAGAAAGACTACGATGGGAAATATTCTTGCTTTCTTAATGAATTAAATTTACGTACAATACAGTTATATCCCGTTGGATACATAATGGGCTTGCGAGCTGTGAAGGCAGTACCTTTGAGGGCATGCTGCGCATGTCTTAAATCTCTACCGAGCCCGGCAACTGTTCGTAGCCAGGGCGTGCGAGTTTAAATTCAACACGGCGGCCACTATTTTGATAGCTTTTGACCAGGTCAAACTCTATGGATTTTCTCGAATTACTGGAGATGGCAAATAATACATGGGAAAAGAGATAAAGAACATTGGTGATGCCAGAACAGGTCTAAAACAAAACTTGCTCTAGAACTTAACTGCATATTTTTGGCTCCATTCCTTTGGGATGATCTGAATCAGGATCAGTAGTCCAAGATCACTCAGATCAGGCTGATGAATCCCTGACAAGAGTGGATTCACCGGTTGCTTTGATGCACCATGATCTGAGTGATCTTGGATCACTGATCTTGATCCACATCATCCCAAAGGAACGTACCCCATTAACTTGACAGGGAAGGGGATAAATGAGAGCATTTGAGTCATGTTCTAAATGGTGTGGTTTAATCGAGCAGAGATGAAATCTCATCACCGTTTTAGGAACCCTTTATTAACAAATACAAAGGGAAAACATTTAATCAAATACATGTTCCTGAAAGTCTCGTGCCAGCTCCAAGCGGCGAAAAATGTCACTGCTCTATTGATATCGACGAACGCTTTCCGTTCCAAAAAGTTCTTGGGGCGATGCGTGCCGAAAATCGAGTTTTATGTCCTGTGTTCAAGTAGTTACCAGTGCTCTTGGAGTGGACCATAGATATACTAAAATAATTTTCCCACAATAAAACAGTAGAACACACACGTAGGCCGGCTACATTAGCAAAAAAAGAAAAAAAAACAAAAAAAAAAAAACACAGAAGTGCCGTGTTGAAGAAAAATTGAACGCTCTTACAATATGATTCGTTGTTCATCGATTTTGTTGATTCTCATAACTGTCTTGTCATGAATAAATATGACCAGTTTAAGGACCAGCGAAAGAATTGCGAAGTGTGTATGCTTGTAAAACTGTTCCTAGGTTGATAATTGTATTTTAAGTTATCTTTCTAAAACCCGCAGCCTTGAGTTTTAAAGGTGTACCAGAAGGCATTTAAACATTCCAGTGTCGCGTAACGCAACCGAACACCTCGAAGTCACGCGATATGTATCAGCCAGTCACGCAAGTTCGTCTCTCCCTGTTAGCTCGCTTTCCCCAAATCTATTTTCTTCTGAAGTGCTCGAGCGGAGTGATAAATCATGGAGTCTACGAGGCCAGCCACTGTAAAGACCAAAAATGAAATGTGCATTTAGCATTAAAGAGGAAACAGTAAAGACTTACATAAACTTATATAAACTGAGCCGTTATCTCGGGATGAAATTTTGAAACAGAGACGCGATATATTATATTTCCGTCACATGGCGGGATGTAGCTAAAAATTCATAAAAAACTGGGTTCTTACAACGATGGAAAATACACGGTGTAGCCTTCGCGATAGCTAAGGATACAAAGCTGCGTAAAAAAGCTGCGCTCATCGGGAGTTACTTTAATTTTGTTGTGAACAACATGTAGACAGAATCGGGTTCTGTCCTCGTGTACCGGTTCACAAGAACCGATAACAAAAGACCCAACAATGTTCAACAGCTAAACAAAGGTTTGTAAAGAAAGGAGTACAATGGTTATTCCCTCTGTGTACCGGTACACCAGGACACGACCCAGAATCGGCTCAAATGACTTCCTACCTGTAAAAATACCGCCGACAATTGCACAAACACCAGTGAGAAAATGCATGAAGGATCTGAAATTCAACAGAGAACAGAGATCAACAGACTTGATACCACTTACTCTCGCCAGTAACTAGCTCAAATTTGTTTCGCTGAGATCTTGTTGTTGGTTAAAACTGAAACTCGTCACGTGAGATAAGTTTTACCGATCACAGCAGACAGATATGTCTTGTTTTTGTTTTCTTTCTCTTCTGCACAAGATCAAAAATTAAAACAAACAAACAAACAAACACACAAAAGCAGCGAATGTAGCACGCTTCTCACCTTCTACTCTCTGTATACTGCACGACCATCGGAGAGAATTCATACAATACAAAGACACCTACAAAGAAAAATCAATAGCAACAGAATGAAACCGTCACGCTACTTCGACGGTAAATTGAAAACACTTCGACACGGCTGCCACAGACATCACTATCCAAATTCTGACTATTTCCTGACTTTTCCCTGGTAAAAATAAAATTTGCCGTGACTTTTCTTCAAAATGTCTTTTTTTCCCTGACCTTGAAGAATTTTTTCACTTTGACCATTTCCTGACCTATGGCGACCCTGTTAGTTTGAGGGTTAGCAACGCAATATACTCGGGAAAAAATTGCGAGCTTTTCTGACAGGCGTTCCACTCGCGTGACAGTCTTCGGCTGAGCTTTAGGAATTGCGGTCGTTTCGCCCGATGCCAGTGCACACTCTCCGTGGTCAATGGAGTAAAGAACGAGAAATAAACAATTTTGTTTCCATTTGCCCACAATGTTGTCTTTTTCGCTCGGTTAGAGAATGATAAATTTTAAGCATATCTTTCTTCGAACTTAGTTAAAGTCCGGACGAACGGACTTTTAGACCGGGCAAACTGACATTGTGCGAAACGCCTGGTTACCAGCTTTACAAGTCATGCGGGAGCTTACATTCAGATATTCAAGGTCTATTGTTAGAAAGCCGGTTGTTTTTACAAGGAAGCTTGTATCACTGACTGGTGAAAATCATTCTAATTGAGTTCTACAAAGCTTCACTAAACTAATAATCTCAACTCTTAACTCAGAGCAAATTTGGATTTTGGTGGCCGGGTTGATCGTTGGATAAAGAGAGAGTTTACTGACGATAGAATAAGCGAAGCGATACCTGGCAGACCGTGTTCACCAGACACTTGTCTGATGACCCTCTTGTGCTTTGTGACCGAGAATTGATTCGTTTTTACCACCTGCAAACAAACAAATTCAAGCAAGTATGAGGACAAGTTTGAACACACTGGTAAGACTGAGATGTTTATGAAGCGGCCGGGGATAAAAACAAAACACAGTTATATTCGCACCAGTCCCTTACTTTAGCATTTTTAGCGAGCTCTGCATCTCATTTCAGTCCAGTTCGCGTAAGAATCTTTTGGCTGTTGGCAGTCGTAACATACTGTCTCTCTTTTTCGCTTGCTTCTACACACTACTGCGCTTCTCGTTTCCCGTCCCTCCCTTTCCCAATCATTCTACACTTCCAACTCGCTCCAGCGCGGCCGCATTTCTCCATCTCTTATTCAGCGAGCGTAAAAGGGACTGCCGCGAATAGTATGCTTATCGTCGCCTGAATCAGCGTTTTCTGATCAGCCAACAAAAAGCCAAGGTTTACTGGAAATTTTCAGCAAAGGTGATCGTTTGGTGATTTCATGTTGTGCTTCAGTGGACAGAAAAGAAATATACCGTACCAAGGTATACAACGCACGTGCGGAACTAATGAACTACTCATTGACATACGGCAAACATTTTCTTGCACTGCTACATGCATATGTACTATACAAGTTTAAAAGCATTGCTGTGCGCGTTACCATCCACGTTGCAAGTTGAAGCAACATCTTGCAAAAAATACAGCTCAAATCTCCGACACGGACGGTAACAAGAGCTACAGCGCTCTTCAACTTCTGTTAAGCGGCGTGTTTTTTTTGGACTCACCTCGCCATTTAACTTTCTGTACATTGTTGGAACAATCTTTACAAAGTATTGGTACATACTCCCGGCTAGAAATAACAATAACGACACAGTTACAACACAGATCTTATTCAGAATAAACGTTACAAGTTCAAATGGATGACAACAATTTAGCCCACTCTTTTCTCGATAGAATTAAGCAAACAATTTTCTGCAAAGGAAAATTACATGGAGCATTTTATTTAAAACCACGAAGCGAATTTCAAAACCGCTGCGCAAAAAATGCACTCAGCCGACTTCTGATTATAATTCAAGCTCGCATTGTCTTAGTCTTCCTTCGCAGCCTTTTTTTGGGTTCGTCACGCAACGCTACTTCACCAACAAGTCTGGTCTGTAGCCATTGCTTTAGGGTGCTGCGGGCCGTGTTGCGTGACAACCCCAAACGATGGCTGCAAAAGAGACCAACATTCTCTCTCTCCATAGCCCCCTTGGGAGAACAAGGCCAGGAATTACAAAGGGAATCACCAGTCAGGGACAATTTCTACTCCTACATCCCCTTTACTAACAATAGTGACTGAATTTTCTTGTTCAAAAACAAGTTCACATCAGACATTCCATCTTGAAAGGGGGTCATGAGAATTTAAGACCAGGCCATAAGTGGTGCAAAACCTCATTCTCCACGGAAGAGTTTTAGAAAATGAATGAAACAAGTACGAAGAGTGTACAAGCACATCCAGAATACAAACAAAAACATTTTACCATCTTCCGCTGCAACATAAGTGTTGTCCAGAGGATGCTTTAAGCCAGGATATTCATGACCAAATGAAAGATGGCGAATATGATGCGTCAGATTAAACTGCAAGTAAAACATAGTACGGTTATGACAAACGGAAGATTAGGTAAGTTACATTAAAGTCTACATACTGTATGAGCCAGTGGCCCATCAGGTCGGAGCTTAATCCCTGTTTCTGTAGCATGAAGCGACTAGGAGTCTTTCTATTGAGGCTTTTAGCCAGATGGGTGTCCAGGCGTCCTGTGGAACGCCACTTTTTAAAGAAAATTGTTTAATCTTTCATTTGTTGCCTTATAAATTGTTGATTTGCGCAGACTTTTTAGCACATTTTGGAGAACCACTTCTCAAATCCTGGCTAAAAGCCTGTT